ATCTGTTAGATAGTTGTTAAGAGATGGAATTTGGAATGTTTGAAGAAAGTGTTGTTTAGGTATATTAAGGAAAATATAATATTGAATTTATCATCATTTTGTATTTTAAAGAGAGGTTGGTTAACACTATCTTTACTAATGTTGTAGTGGAGTCTAAAGTAGATAGGATGGAGTTTAAGGTCTTAATTAAATTTTTTTGCATTAATGGTTTTGTATTTGTCATGAAGAATGAGATGTAGACGAGTTAAATTAAGTGCAATTTGTGTTCTGTTTGAAGTAATATAGGGTGGAATTTAGCTATATAAAGCAAAGATTTTAGGATAATTAAGATGAGTAAAGAGAGTAGTAGTGAATTCCTTAAGTAATGCGATAAAAGTTAAGTGAATCAATTCAAATGGAATAGAAAAGAATTTATCTATAGATGGATTGTTTTCATATATGAAGTCTGTTAAAAACTTAGGACAAAGTCCAGCTAAAGTTTTGACTAGATACATATAGTTAAACTTGGATGCTGGTTTGCCTTCAGTTACTTGTTCAGTGATTTTACCAAGGTATACATTAATAAGATGTAGTTTAATAAAGTTAAGGATTTGTGAAGCTAGTTTGTTGTCAAAATGAATATGATGTTTAATGTTTTCAGTTATTGGATATTCTTTGAACCAATCAAGGTTATTAGAAATATCTTTAATAATTTGTTTCTGTTTTTGTTTTTGTTGTTTTGTAGATTGTTGAAAGTTAGATTTTTTAGAAAAGATTGAATTATAAAGTTGAATTTTGTCTTTTGCTGACATAGTACTAAGTTTATAAAGGATACCAATTTTTTTGTGATCTGAATTTAATGGAATTCGATAGAAGGGTTTAAGTTCAATATTTGAAATGTTAGATATGCAGGATCGGTAAATTAGAGAACCTTTGAAAATACATGCTACTGTATAGTCTGGTGCATGATTATATTGGTTATTTATAAAAATATATTGAATGTTTTTGACTTTACAAAGGAAGCAGGTATGATAATGTTGAGAGTAAGCAATTATAGCTGTAGGAGCTGGATTTGTTTGGAAGTTTGAAAAAAGAAAATGTGCTAAGGAGGAAGAAGAAGAAGAAATTGAAGATTGTGTTTGGTCTACTAATTTAGAAATTGGAGAAGCAGGTAGTTCATCTGATCGTTTAAAGCATTGTGCAGAGATAGTAGTTCTAATTTGGGTTTGAGTTGGGTTTGGAGGTTGACCAATTGTTGTTGGATGAGTAATTTTATAGTGTTTGGAGGTAAAGCTTGTATGAAACTTGCCACAAAGCCAAGTTGCGATAGCAGGTTGAAGAGAAACTTTAAAGTAGTGATGTTGTTTTTTCTCATCACAGATATCGAGTTTAGCAGAAACTGGTAAGACACATAATGCTTGAGGTTTATTTTCTTGGAGTTAAACTCCATACCTATCTTTATATTTAGAATAATAGTAGTCAATATTATAGGAATCTGGTTCCTAAGAATCAGTTAAAATAGGCATTTTTAGGATCAATTTTTAAAATTGGGATGTGACAAATAAGGGGTGTGATGACTAAGGGGGTGTGACAAATAAGGAATGTGCCAAATAAAGGGTGTGATGTTTAAAGCAACACTTAATGTGACACCTAAGTGATCGATGTGATTACTGTATAACAAGAGTTGTATAACAAGAGTTGTGTAATTTAGTTAAGACTAAATTAGTAAAAATTAAAAATAGATAAAACAAAGTTAGATTTATATAAATAGATTAATAATATTGATTAGTAATTTAGATCTGCAGGTCTGGGGTGTCCTAGAGGACCAGAATTCCTCCAAAAAATAGAAAAAATTTTTTTCAAAAATAAAATATAGTTTCCAAGTGAGTTTTGAAGTATTTTAACTGTATAATTTTCAGTTTTAAACTATTTATAGTGTATAATATATCAAAATAACAGCAAGAATGAGCTGAACAAGTTTGTTCTATGTAACAACTATGATTTACTTAATAAAGTTTTGAATTTTTGCAGAAAGAAGAAAATTACAAAATTTAGTTATATCCCAGTAATAAAAGCCTTTAAGGATATAAAACTGGGCCGCCTATATGTAAAATTCTGTTAGAAACAATTTTACTTAGGCAGCCAAAGTAGGTTTACTTAATAAAAAATTGAGAAAAGAGTAATTATGTTTAGAAAAAATTTGATACAAGTGATCATCAGGAAGAGTTAATAATTTGCATTCAAAATTATTTTATATATATAAGAAGTAATTTCAAAATTTTAAAAGAAATTGAAATCTTTCGCAATATATTACATATATTTGAACATTTATACAAATTTTAATATCTAATATTGAAATTTTAAAACATTTTTCTAATTCTTTATAAACTTAAAAATGTCGAGCTTCATATATACAGTTTGTCCTCATACTTTTACTACTAGAAATGGGTTGAGTAAGCATATCAAAAAGGTATATTACGCTTTGTGCGTGACGCTATGCAAGAATTAATAATCCGATATTTACTGTTTACATCCCGTATAAGCAGGATGTAAACAGTAAATTAATATTTTTTTAATCTGTCTAACTGACTTTTAATTCTTGCATAAGCATCACGCACAAAGCGTAATATACAAATTTTTTAGATTTTAGATTTTAGATTTTAGATTTTAGATTTAGAGTTTTAGTTTTAGTTAGTTTTTAGTTAGTTTTAGTTAGTTAGTTTTAGTAGTTAGTATCGTATTTAGTATCGTATTTAGTATCGTATTTAGTATGTATATAAAGATTTAGTATGTATATAAAGAACGTGATATAGCACGTGATTTAATGATCCGCATTCGTAATCTGCATTTGTAATTCATATTTGTAATCTGTATTTGTAATTATTAATAATTATTATTAATTAATAATTAATAATAATAATAATAATAATTATGTAATCTATATTACTGACTTAATTATAAATAAATAAAAAATTTTATAAGTATGAAAAATTCTTTTTTTAAAAACTTTATTAAATAATTTTTTAAAAATTTTATTGATATTTTAAAATGCCTTCTAAAAATACAAAACCTGTTCTTCAACATATTTTTGATGCTAATCATGTTCCTGAAAATCTTGAAAATGAAACACCACATGAAAAAACAAATTGATTAGTGCATATTCGATATGCTACTAATAAATATTATGAATTAAATCCACATTTAATTCAAGAAGAATCTCAAGCAAGTTCTTCTACTGAATTACAAACCCAATCAAGCAAACTTAGAACACAAAAATATCGAGCTTTATGAACTTCTGCACAAAAAATTGAAATAAATAAAAAACAAAAAAAAAGAATGCAAACAATTCGATAACAACAAATTGAACAATTTTATAAAATTGGTCAATATGAACTTGAAAATTATAATAAAAATAAGATTAAAGGTGATGATATTGAAGCTGGATGTCAAATAATTAAAACAATGAATATAATTTGTAATTATTGTCATGCATTAAAATGGAAAAATGAGCCAAATTCATTTTGTTGTATGAATGGTCAAGTTAAAATTGCATTACTTGCATCTGCTCCAAATATGCTTTATAATTTATTAACAACAAATGATTCTAATACTAATAATTTATTTGTAGAACAAATTCGAGCATATAATTCAGTATTTGCATTTACTTATTTAGAAGTAAATCTTAATAAAACATTAGCAAATGCAAAAGAAGGTGTTTATACATTTAGAATACAAGGAGCTTTATATTATAAAATTAGTTCCTTAATACTTAGAGAAATTGAAGGAAGACGTGATCCAAATTTTGCACAAATTTATTTTTATGATTCAAGTTTGGATAATCAAGTAGCAAGACGAATGAATTTAATGCCAACATTAAATGAAAATATGATTCAAGCAATTCAAAATGAATTATATGAAATCAATCCATTTGTTAATGTATTTTATCAAACAGGATTTGAAGCAGATAATTATCCTGATTTAACATTAACAATTCATAGTACTCATGGAAAGGATATGAGACAATACAATCAACCAACAGTACCAGAAATTGCAGCAATTATTCTAGAAAATTATGAAAATACTGTAATTCAAAAAAGAGATATTTTACTTAAAACACATACAGGAAAATTACAAAAAATCTCTGAACTACATGGTGCTTATGATCCATTGCAATATCCTTTATTATTTCCTTATAGTGAATATGGATGGCATGACAATATTTTGAGAGCTAATGAAATTATAACTACATCAGATAATGAACAATCTGATGATGAATTTGAAGAATTTGATAATGAAGAATTTGATCCTAATCAAATTGCAATTTATCGAGCAACAAGTATTGCTGAAAGTACTGATGCAACAAAAGCATTTGAAAATTTATTAGTTAGATCTGTCTCAAGTATGAGTACAGGATCTAATATTAAAAGAAAAAAAAACAGAAATTAAAGTGAGTAAAGAAATAGTTGTTGTTAAAAAAAGAAGAACAGAAGTTGGATATAATGAAGAAATAGTTGAAATTGATAATGAAAATGAAAATGAAATTATATTAGGAGATAAAGATTTGGATCAAATTCAAGTACACCAATCAAAACAAAAAGCAAAACAAGTTACAATTCGAGAATTTGTTGTTCATAGAATTCAAGTTCGAAATTATAACAAAGCACAAAGTATTTTACATCTTTCTGGCCATTTATTTCAACAATATTTAGTAGATCAGTATGTCAAATGGGAATCAAATACTTTATGACGGTATAGAAAAAATCAATCATAATTTAGATCTGAAATTTATTCAGGTCTACAGGACATTATTGATTCTGATGATACTACTATGGAAAATATTGGCAAAAAAGTTATTTTAGCATCATCTTTTACTGGATCTTAACGATATATGCAACAACTATATCAAGATTCTATGGCAATTGTTAGAGAATATGGCAAACCTGATTTATTTGTTACTGTAACTTGCAATCCCAAATGGCCAGAAATAATCAATGAATTATTAAACAGATCTGAAAATAAAAAACAACAAACTTCTGATAGACCTGATATAGTTGCTAGAGTTTTTAAACAAAAACTTCAAGC